AGTGTGTGTGTGTGTTTGTGTGTGTGTGTGTGTGAGTGTTTGAGTGTGTGTGTGTGTGTGTGTGAGTGTTTGAGTGTGTGTGTGTGAGTGTGTGTGTGTGTGTGTGTGTGTGTGTGTGTCTGTTTCTAGGAGTGGTTCAGCTGATTCACATCTGATGATCTCATGGTAAATTCACTGAACAGAATCAACGTACTGGCCATAAAACTGGCACAACGGTCCATTATTGGCAGTAGATAAAGTTGATCAAATAAGATCATTGTGATTACAGACGGATCTAAAAGAGTGCGCTTCTCCTGAAAGCCGTTCCCACTGCACATGAAGATGAAGTGTCTGCTCATGAAAACCACGAGAGGATCAGACTCTCCAAAGATCTCAGTAAATCTGCAGCCGTCCGTCATGAACCCTGACAGAACCTCAAATGGCCAGAAAACTTCAGGAAGAGTCCAGCACAACATCCACATCTACATGAACGAGTTGAACACGAACATACCGAGAGTCTCTGTGAAGGTCTTCTGCTAGACGACAGAAGGAGCACAGCTGCTCAGATCGGCTCTTCTGAGACCTCCATAAATCAGCAGACGAGGAGGATGCGGTTAAACTGTGGGAAAACGGGAAACACACTCCTAACATGTCCGTCTTTACCGTTTCCTCCGTAAGAGATGATCAGGATGGAGATCACACAAAGCCTTTTCCAGGAATGCGTCACAAAAGTTAATTCAGTCAAGGATTTTTTTGAGGGAAACCAATTTGTGTCACTGTTACATCAAAATCAACCTGGTAAAATAACTAGATCCTTAAAAAATGATATATATAAATTATATTAAATAAAATTTTAAAATTTTGTTAAATTAAATTTATATTTTATATTATTTTATATAAAAAATATATCATAATATTATATATAATATAAAATATTATATTTTATATTAATAAATGAAAACTAAATTGAAATGATAATGATCTGATATTTAAATCATGGATCAAACAGCTGTTATATATCAGCGAGCATGTCATGAACTCATTAGTCTATCAGCTCTGTTTGCTCTTCCAGACGTGACGTGCTGTGTTTGTTCACATCTCTGGCCTGCAGTGCATCTGTGTATCTTCAGCTCATCACACATTTAAAGTCCAGAGCAGAATAGCTTCTGGTTCAAGGATACGACGAAACGAGTCCCATGAGAAACCATCTTTCTGTCCATTCTGCAGCGTTTACATGCAACACAATCCATCTTCGACATGTGGAGTCAGTCTGGAGACGCACGCTGGCCAAGATTATACTCCACTATTACAATAATCAACTGATTACTAAACAAACAGCTAAACAACTTCATACTGGTGAAATATTTCCATCTGTAGTTTTTGATTAAGGATGTATAACTGAATCTGATGTTGAAACTGAATTATTCCACACATCTGAACTGTAATCCAGACACATCTGATGCGTTTCCTTCTCATCTGGGATCCAGGCGGACGAATGACGTCAGACGGCTATTAAATCAATACACTCAAACAGATTTAGGCCTGAACTTCAGATTGAAAGTCTCCACCCACTTGGATTACACAGTTTTAATACAAACACAAACTAATAAATTTAATGTGATGCATATTTGTCAGTCATACAGAAATGAAGCCAATGAATGCTCTGCAGTGAATGGGTGCCGTCAGAATGAGAGTCCAAACAGCTGATAAAAACATCACAATAATCCACAAGTAATCCACAGCACTCCAGTCCATCAGTTAACATCTGGAGAAGACAAAAGATGAGACACATCCAGCATTAAGACGTTTTTAACTAAAATACATCGAGTCCATAATGCATAATAACTCTTCCTCCAGTGAAAAAGTG